GGGTCAGTACTGAGCGAGTGCTGCACTGTTGGGTCAGTACTGAGAGTGCTATACTGTTGGAGGGTCAGTGCTAAAAAAGTGCTGCACTGTTGGGTCAGTACTGACAGACAGCTGTAGATGTCATCTTTCAGATGAAACATTAAACCTAAAATCAGTCGTGATCTGTCTGGTCAATTTTTCAGATGCCAGTGTCACTACTGGGAGAGTGGCAGGCACTTCTGTTTCTTTGAGACAATATTTAGCTTGATTGAAATTTGGACCAATGTGTAGTGATTATAATGACTTCAACCAGTAGGACTTCATAGACTATATGTTCCCCGATTGGGGCTGTTAACCTTGTCCAATCAGGGAGCCTTGGCTGATAGATATAAACATGAGTGTCAGAGGTTCTATTCACTCTGAGAGCTGGCTCTGAGGGAGTTGGATCAGTGTCAAAGACTTTCCTTGTGTAAATAAAGGATGACTTGGTGACCAGATACCAGCCTCTGTGGAGTTATTTCAGAGGTGGCTAAAGAAAAAAATATACTCCTGAAGAAATTCATTCACAACAGTCCTCTTTGAATTGGGATAAGCATTTCTGTCATCATGCCATGATTCGGGAAGCTTAACTGATTTGATCCTGCTGTTGAAGACTGGGCCCAGTACGTGAAAAGAATGCGTTTACTTTTTTCGAACAAATTATATTGGAGCAAGTGAAAAGCAACGAGTCATTCTCGTTACAGCTTTTGAACCCACAGCTTTTTTGATTATTGGGAGCCTAATGTTTCCTTAGGTACCAGGCATCTTTCAAAAGTTGGCACATTTAGGTTAGGACTATTATGACCCCAAGACTCCTCTAATTCTGAGGTGCTATCAGTTTCACTCGGCAGTTCAAGAACCATGGGAATCTGTTTTGGGATTTTTGACAAGGTTAAAAACGATTGGTAGAAGACTGTGACTTTGGTTTAATCCTAATGAGATGCTGAGAGATTGTCTGTATGTGGGACTAATGGTATAACCAAGCAAAAGGGCTTACTCGCTGAAGCCCAACTGGATTTCAAGCAGATGCTACAACTGAATTTATCATTAGAAAATACAGCAAGTGGAGCAAATGAGTTGGAGGTTATGGTGATGGAAGTGGACCCTCTTGCCAGGCTGACTGAGCTTGGGGAATACTACGTGAGTAAGTCCAATTGTATAGCCTCACTCAGGACATATTCCGAATAGAGGGACTCTAGGTCAGCCAACAGCAAAACCCCAAAACAAAGCCAAGCTTTGGCCAAACTGTTAAAATTTTCTTCAGGATCTGGACAGGCAAGCCATTGTAGTTGCTGTAGTGGACTGGACAGCACCAGGCCTGAATTGAGTAAGAGAACTCAAAGGTCAGTATCCAGGAGAGTGCACACACTGGGAAGTCTGCTTATATCTGGCTTGAAACAGTTAAATTACTTAGCAACATCCAAATCAGAACCAATCAAAATAAACATATGGCTAAATGGCCACCCTGCTCTAATGGAGGTCGACACCAGTGCAGCCGTATCAGTGATTGCAGAACCAGTCTTTAACCCAAAATTCACTGTAGAATTCAATCTTTAAGTTTGCACAAGACTTCGGCTAGAAGAGAACCTAAACTGGGGAACCTTTACAGATTTAGGATACAATTTCAATTCTGGTCTCTTATGAGAAGCAGCTGGTTCAGTTATCACTGTAGTAAAAGGCTTGGGCCCAATATTGATGTGGTGAAATTGATTGAGAAAGATTTACCTAGATGGCTCAATTGTTCTAATTAGAAAATGGCTGCCTGACTGAAATCTGAATTAAATGCCCAGAAGTTAGCTGTCTCTCTCGCTTAGAGGAGACTTGTGTCTGGCATTGGCGTTCCTGATGCTATTTGACCCTGGTGTGGATGTCTTGAGCTGCCTCCCACTGGTAGATACACGACTGGTGTTGTTGCTTTTGGAAGAGTCCGGTCTGGTTTTAAACTTTCTGCACGCCATTCTGATCACCGCTGACAATATCACAATGTGGTGCAAAAAGATCGAGTCTTGGCAAAACAAAAACAGCTGGTGGTGATGGGGGAAACAAAAGGGCCATCAATTGAAATCTGGGGGTAGCTCAATGGTTAGCACTAATGCCTGACAGTGCTAGGGACCCAGTTTAGATTCCACCCTTGGGTGCCTGCTTTTATAGAGTTTGTTTGTTCTCCTTGTGTCTGTATGGCTTTGTGCCTGGTGCACAGGCTTCCTCTCCCAGTCCCAAGATGTTCAAGTTGGGTGGATTGGCCATGTTAAATTATCCATTGTGTTCAGGGATGTGTGGGTTAGCCATAGGAAATGCAGGGTTACAGGGATTGGTCTGGGTGGGATGCTTTTTGAAGGGTTGGTATGGATCTGTTGGCTTGAATGGCCTGTTTCCACACTGTAGGAATTCTAAGGCTTTATGGACCCAGTGAGACCAGATCACTGTAGAGGATGGAATTTTATTATGGTAAGCGAGAGTGATTGTCCCAAGCAAGGGTTGCCACCAGAAACTGGCTGAACTCCACTAGGGTCATCCAGGATGTCCAAATGATGTTACATCTGGTGGATAGGATTGGATGCAGACATAGCCACACGGTGTACAGTACCCAGAGTGCCAACAAGGATAAAAATTACAGCCAACGTCTTCCCCACCTTCGTGGGAATGGCTTGATAAACCCTGGACTCGGTTACACGTCAGTTATGCCAGCCCTTTCATGGGCTCAATGTTCATGGTCATTGTAGATGCCCACTCAAAGTGGCTGAACGTGCATAGATTTCATTTGTCAAACACAAGGACAACGATAGAAAAACTGAGAGCATCTTTTGCAATACAAAGACTTCTGGAAGTGTTGGTCACAGACAATGTGCCATCATTTACCAGTAGGGAATTTCAGTATTTCCTAAAGTTGAATTGGATTCAGCACATAAGGACAGCTGCATACCATCCATTATCCAATGGTCTGGTAGAAAGAATAGTCCAAACTTTGAAGTCTGGCATAAAGAAATGGCTAACAGCTTCATTTGATACTGAACTGTCCTGGTTCCTATTTGATTATAGGACCAACCCTCATGCAACTACAAGGATAGCTTCAGCAGTGTTACTAATGGGGAGAAGACACTGCACCAGGTTAAATCTAATCTTCCCAGACCTGGGGGGCATTGAGGGTGAGACAGAATCAGAAACACCAATGCTGAATACAAGACTCCTCTAAATGAGAAGGACAGTTAATTTCTAGGGACAGAGTTTGGTGCTGAAACCACAGAAATGACCCTGCATGGGTAAGAGGTATGGTCGACACAAGGTCAGGTCCCGTGACGTACAAAGTTTGAGCAGGTGAGGTGGTCCTGAACTAGCACGTGGACCATATGAAAACTGCAAACTCTCAAATGGGGGAGGAGCAAAACATACCCGGCCCTTAGAATATCCATAAAGACTATCGGAACCGGTGTGTTCTCCCCCTCTGCCCAGCAACAAAGAAACCTCGGAGTCTGAGATAGGCACAGTGAATGTTGCAGACTTGATGCCTTTACTGCCTGAAAAAGAGGATCAGTTTCTTCCGAGACACTCAGAGCACAAGAGGTGTGCTATGGTCTAGTACACGTCACCTGTGTCTGAGGCTGAGTCGGAACAAACCGATCAGGAAACAGTCCATGAGAGGCTACAAGAAAAAGAACGGGCGTACGTCCTCAGACTTAGTAGGGGAGGGATATAGTTATTGTAACAAAGTCAGCCAGGTGGACCTCATAGAATATGAGTTCCCTGATTTGGTCCAATCAGTTAGCCCTGGCTGACAGATATAAACAAGAATGTCAGAGGTTCTGTTAACACTGAGAGCTGGCTTTGTGGAAGCCAGATCAATGTCAAGGACTGTCCACTTGTAAATAAAGGGTAACTTGGTGACAGGGTGCCTCTGTGCAGTTATTTTACATTGTGCAACAAAGACATGAGTTTGTTCAGGCTCACCGATATTAACTGTAGTGCTATCTGATCTGAATCTTAACTCCATTGACTGCCGAGATTCTGAATTTCTTAACACCTCTTATGCTGCATTGATCTATCCATCCTAGTTTCAACACTTTCAGTTGACTCTCAGAATCCAAAGGTTTCTTTTTTTAATGGGAGAAAGTTCCAGAATTACACTCCCCTTTATATGAAATAATATTTATGAATGTCACTCCTGAACAACCTGGCTCTAACATTAAGGTTCTGCCTCTTTAACTCCAACCTAGCCGAAAAAAATCCATTGATCTATGATATCCTTGTTAAGTTTTGGAGTTGTTGCAATGCTGTGGTAGAGTCCCTACCTCTGGGCCAAGAGGCCTGGGTTCAAGTCCCATCTTCTTCAAAGGTATGTCAAAACAATTCTGAACAGGTTGAGTAAAATATAAATCCCTAATAAATCCTGACTTCATCTCCAGTATCTTCACAAGAGCACTGTCTCATTAGTAACATAGTCACTGCTATCTGTGCCATTCTGCTGTGTGAAAGTGACTTCCATGTTCCCAACGTTACATCGTAATGACACTTGACTAAAGAAAGATTGGCTGTAAAGGAAATCCTGAGGTGTCATAAGGTAGTGCACAAATGCAAATGTTCCTTTGTTTTACCCAACATTGATCAGAAAAATATAAAAATCTAAAATATTCTCATTTCTTTGGTTGGTCATTTCTCAAACAGAATTACCGTGATGTTCCGCAAATCGTTCATTCAGCCTTCGGGCCTCAGATATGAGCCATGGTTTCACCTGAGGGAGCAAATTTCTGAGATGTGACACAGCAAAGTGACGTTGGTCTCTCCATTCATTGCCGTTGGAAAATATAATCCCTGGGAAAGAAAAGATGAGTTATTTTGAAATGTGATTCAGATATATGGATTGAGGAAGTTGGTGGTGAGAGTAGGTTTGTCACTCACCATGTGAGCCTTTGAGTTGCAGGAATAATGGTGAAATGGGTCTTGCAGAGAAAACCTCCCCATGATGGACCAGTGCTTCTCTGACGATTGAGTAACCATCCAATACCAGCAAAAACTCTGCTCCCAGATTCATGCTGAATATATTGCCATATTTCTTTCCCAGCTTTAGAACAGAAAGGAGATTTTTTTTAAATTGCAGTATTTGTGCACAAAAGGCAGAGATTCCACATGAAACAGTATATAACATTAACCCGATCTGGAATAACTGCTTTCAAGTCTGGGCAGCGCCAAGTCAGTAAGACACATAGACTGCAGGCAGTTCACCAGCAAGGCAGGCAATAAATGCTGGTCTATTACTGACTCCCACGAACCATGAAAGAAGTTTTGAAAAGTCTGTAGTTCACATAACATATTTCATAAAGTTACAATACTGTCAACATGGCAACTGTCGATCCTATCAAAAGGACAGGCAGTTGGGTGGGGAGTGGCGTAGTTGTCTTGTTAGTTCGAAATGAAATGAAATTTATAACAAGAAGTGATATAGAGTTGGAAGGCATAGAACCTGTGTGGGTAGAGTTGTGGAACTGCAAAGGAGAAAAGCCCTGATGGGAATTGTGTGCAGGCCTCCGAGCAGTAGTCAGGATGTGTGGAAGAAAATAAATCCGGAGATAGAAAATATATGTAAGAAAGGCATATTACAGTAATCATGGGAGACTCCAGTATGCAGGTGGACTGGGAAAATCAGATTGGTAATGGATCTCAAGAAAGGGGATTTGTGGAATGCCTATGTGATTTTTGTGAAGCAATTTGGGGTATAGCTCACTCGGGAACAGGCAATTCTGGAATTAGTGATGTGTAATGACCCAGACCTGATTAGGGAGCTGAAGGTGAAGGAACGCCTAGGGGACTGTAACCATAATATGACAGAATTCACCCTCCAGTTTGAGTTGGAGTATATTGAATCAGGTATAATGGTATTACAATTAAGTAAAGGTAACTACAAAGATATGAGGGAGGAGCTGGCCAGAGTTGATTGGAAGGGGACCCTAGCAGGGGAGATGGTGGAGCAACAATGGCAGGAGTTTCTGGGGGTAATTCAGGAGGTGCAAAAGAAATTCATCCCAAGGAAGAAGAAACATAGTAAGGGGCAGATGAAGCAACCATGGCTGGCATGGGACATCAGGGACAGCATAAAAGCAAAAGGAAAAGCATACAATGTGGTGAAGATAAGTAGAAAGCCAGAGGATTGTTAAAATCAAGCAAAGGATAACTAAAAAGGCAGACAAGGAGAAGATGAAATTTAAAGTAAGCTAACTACTAATACAAAAGAAGATTGTAGAGTTTTTTTTAGGTGTCTAACAGGTAAGAGACTCATAGAGGCATACAGCAGAGAAACTGACCCTTATGTCCAACCAGGCCATGACAACCCTAATCCCAAACTAAAATATCCCACCTATCTACACCTGATATCCCTCCAAACGTTTCTTATTCATGTGCTAATTCTACACACAAACCACTCTATGTATGGAAAATAATTGCCCCTCAAGTCTTTTTTATGTCTTTCACCTCTCACCTTAAAAATGTGCCCTCTAGTCTTGAAATTGCCCACCCTAGGTAAAAGACACCTGCCATTTGCCTCATCTATACCTCTCATGATTTTATAAACCTCTGTAAGGTCACCTCTCAACCTTCCTCTCTCCAGTGAAAAAAGTCCCAGCCTATCCAGCCTCTCCCCATAACTCAAACCCTCCATTCCCAGCAACATCTTGGTAAGTCTTTTCTGAACCCTCTCCAGCTTAATAATATCCTTCCTATAACAGAGCAACCAGAACTGGACATAGTATTCCAGAAGAGGCATCACCAACGTCCTGTACAACCTCAACGTGACTTCCCAACTCCTATACTCATATGTCTGAGCAACGAAGGCAAGCGTGCTAAATGCCTTCTTAACCATGCAATCTATATGTGATGCAAACTTCAAAGAATTATGTACCTGAATCTTAAATTAGATTGAAGAATGTGGTTCACCACCACTTTCTCAGGCACAATTTGGGATGGACAATAAATATTGGTACAAATGGTACAAAAGAATATGTTTTAAAAAGCACATGTTTGATTTTCCTTGATATCCTTATCTTTCTCTTGTAACTTTGGGATGTTATATTACATGAATGATGTTATTTAAATACAAATTGTCGGTGAGGCTTAAATAAAAGGGAACATATAACTCACTGTCTGATCAACTTTCTGCTGTTCCATTTTAATGCCAGCTATCCATCAACGTGAACTTTTCTACAGTGATCCAATGCTGCCATCTGTTTATCGGGTTTACAACCACCTACATGAAATGTAGTAACAGGGAACAAAGAAACAGCAAAAGAACTGAATAGGTACTTTGTATCAGTTTTCACATGGAAGACACCAGTAGCATACCAGAACTTCGAAAACGTCAGGGGGCAGAGGTGAGTATAGTGGCCATCATTTAGGAGAAAGTACTAAGGAAGCTGAAAGGTCTGAAGGTGGATAAATCACCTGGACCAGATGGACTATACCCTAGAGTTCTGAAGGAGATCGCTGAGGAGATTGAGCGACCTTATCTAAAGCCCTCTTAAAATCAAAATACACTAGATCTGTTGGTTTTCCCTTGTCTGTTCTACTGGTTACATCCTCAAAAACTCCTGTCAATTTATTTAGTATTGTTTCCTTTTTGCGAAAACCATGCCGGATTTGTGTAACCCTGTTAATGCTTTCCCAGTGTTCTGTAATCACATCTTTTATAACATTCTGCAACATTCTCTGCACTACTGATGTTAGTCAACAATAATAACATGGGGTGGCACGGTGGCTCAGTGGTTCGCACTGCCGCTTCACAGTGCCAGGAGCCTAGGTTCAATTCCACCCTCAGGCAACTGTGTGGAGTTTGCACATTCTCTCTACGTGGGTTTCCTCCCACAGTCCAAAGATGTGCAGGTTAGGTGGATTGGCCATGATAAATTGCGTGTAGTGTTCAGGGATATGTAGGTTAGGTGAGTTATAGGGTGATGGGTCTGGATCGGATGCTCTGAGGGTCAGTGTGGACTTGTTAGGCTGAAGGGATTCTATGATCTATAATATCGAGTACAGATAAGAAAATAATTGTAGACAAAGTAACGGAAAAGAGGATAGGAAGTACACTTGAATTACCAGCAAAATTTCTCATTGATTTTGGGCATGACTGAGTTTGCTAATGATGAATTTAGAGATATATGTGTGAATATGAAATTAATAGTTGTGAATAAAGCAGCACAAAGCATTTCTAACAATAGACTTTGTGAAAGGAGCCATCAGATCAGCCAGATTTTAAACTGTCGCCTGTACTGGCATGAGCTAGACATGCTAAGTATTCACTACAGATAGTGGGTGTATGTAATTCATATTGTTATTATCTGATATCATCTAAAGAGATATCTAAGACCAAATGGAATGACAGAACAACTGATGGACGTAAAAATGAAGAGTTAAGTAAGTTTCAATTGGTTCCATAATGTGGATAGCTAGTAATCAGTGGGGGTGCAATTTATGGAGTGTGGAAAACGAATAAAACTCTCACTAAAAGTGTGAACTTAGGCTCAATTTAAATTCAGTTATTTTTAAAGTCTGACAGAGCTACAGGAACGAGCAGAACTACTAGAAGTTGATTCAACACCAGAATGATGTCTGAACCTGCAACCTAGGGCAATAGCTAAAACAGGGAAAGTTTTAAACTAAATAGTGGGGGCAAGGAATAAATTGTAGAAAGATGTGGTAAATCAAAAAGGCAGCAGAACACCAACTCTTCGATTAGAGGGTGCACTGTTAATGTTACCTGAAATGGTAACAAAACATCTGCACACCACAGAACAACCAGCTCAGCGAGCTAATGATCAGCTGAGGCAGTACTAAAGTAAAGGTGACTTGGTGACGGGATACCAGCCTCTGTGGAATTATTTCATATCTATTCTGCACTCTGGAATATTCTCTTAAATGTTTGCCACTGTGCTTCTATTGACCTATCCCTTAACTTAAATTGCCAGTTCACTTTGACTAGCTGTGCTTTCATACCCTCATTATTACCCTTGTTTAAATTCAACTTAGCAGCTTTAGAGCACTCTTCTTTCCCTGAAATTGTATGTAAAATTCAATCACATTATGGTTGCTGCTAACCATGGATGCTTTCGCATTGAGGTCAGTAATTAATCCTATCTCATTGATCAAAAGGTCCAAGAAACTGTCCCGAAAACATTCAACAAATTCCTCTACAAGGCTTCTTTTCCCCATTTAATCTTCCACTCTAAGTGTAAGTTAAAATCTCCTATGATAATTGCTGTACCCTGTTGATGAGTGTTGTACTCTGTTCTACGATGTGGTTACTGTTAGGGAGCCTGTACACAACTCAGACAGGTGACCTCTTACCTTTATCATTCCCCATCTCTACCCAAACTGCTTCTATATCTTAGGTTCTTGAATTTAAGTTATCCTTCTCTATTGCACTGTTATTTAGAACAAAGAACAAAGAACAAAGAAAATTACAGCACAGGAACAGGCCCTTCGGACCTCCAAGCCGGCGCCGATCCAGATCCTCTATCTAAACCTGTCACCTATTTTCCAAGGATCTGTATCCCTCTGCTCCCTGCCCATTCATGTATCTGTCCAGAGACATCTTAAATGACGCTATCGTGTACGCCTCTACCACCTCCGCTGGCAACGTGTTCCAGGCACCCACCACCCTCTAAGTAAAGAACTTTCCACACATATCTCCCTTAAACTTTTCCCCTCTCACCTTGAAATCGTGACACCTAGTAATTGAGTCCCCCACTCTGGGAAAAAGCTTCTTGCTATCCACCCTGTCTATTCCTCTCATGATTTTGTAGACCTCAATCAGGTCCCCCCTCAACCTCCGTCTTTCAAATGTAAATAATCCTAATCTACTCAACCTCTCTTCATAGCTAGCACCCTCCATACCAGGCAACATCCTGGTGAATCTCCTCTGCACCCTCTCCAAAGCATCCACATCCTTTTGGTAATGTGGCGACCAGAACTGTACGCAGTATTCCAAATGTGGTCGAACCAAAGTCCTATACAACTGTAGCATGACCTGCCAACTCTTGTACTCAATACCCTGTCCAATGAATGAAAGCATGCCGA